ACATCTGACACATATGAATAAAAAGATTGGATTTGTGCTACTTTTACCTGCGGTGTTAAAATAGTAAAAAATTAAAAACTGTTTCGTCAAACAAGCTGTTTTCTCGCCAGCTGATCTACTGTAACCATGTGTGCTCAAAGCCTTTCAAAAGCTTCAGTCGGGTCCTGCCAGAGTCCTCAGCTCTCATGCTCCCAGAACAAAGGGAAGTACAGTTCAGGATAGAGCTACATGATGTATGTTTTTTTTAATCATTGTTACAGTATGAATTTCCACAAGGAGTACATTGTAAAGAGATGTGAGAGGCACAGAGCAGAGGAGCAGCCCTACTCTAATTACACTACCCACTCAGCTCCACAAGACTGGCTCACTTCAGCAGCGCTTTGGTGTTCAGATCAGTGCCCATATTCATAAATATCTCTCACATTTACATTTATTCATTTAGCAGACTCTCTAATCCAGAGTGACTTAATGTGCAAACAGCAGCCACAGATCAGTGGTGGCCTCGTGCATGTGAAGTGTTTTTTCCGCCTTGACTTTTCCCAGCTCACGCAAGCAGTTCTGTTCTGGATTTGACATGGAATGTATACATGAATAGGCTATTTGTTCAATAAATAAGTAATATTTAGTGATAAATAGTTTATGGTATCCTAGTGTGTGGTAATATGGGAGTCTATTTCTGCTGTCAGAAATAACTAAAACCATGGAATAGTGCGAACTGTTGTAGGGCAAATGTTTGTATTTGCACTAATGCTTTAAATTACATGATATTTGTTTAATTAAGGAAATCTGCAGAAAAAGCTGTTGAGGTAGTGTTGCTGTTTTTCCAAGCGAAAAGTCAGTTTGCAGTTGTACTATAATTATTTCATTGCTGTTTTCTTGCTCGTATTTAATTTTTTGCTAAGTGAGTTCAGAGTTCAACTGCTTTTGTAGGAATTGTGTTGTTTCCTTTAATATGTGGCAGTAATGCTTAATTTTTTTAAACCACAATATTATTTTGTTCATATTGGGTATGCGGAATATATTGTCATAATGTTAAATCTAATTAATGGTGTTAAATAAACTTGGAAAAACAGTTTACACATTGGTTCCATTGCATAATCATAAACGTTTCAGGTTCAGCAGGGCTCCAGAAAAAAAAATTTGCTTAGGGAAAAAAAAAAAAATAGGTGCCAATAGCTTTTTAAGTGCCAAATAACAATATGCAATAAAATATAACTTATCCACGCACCTCAGGTCAGCTCTGTGATTTAAGTGTCTCTGTTAGCACACGTCTTTGACACATCCAGTCCATTTTTCTCCTTAGCAACATTTGGGAGGTGAATTTGGTGAAGGGTGGGCCATCACTTGCTTCGCGTAGGCTGTGTTGAGTTTAATTTTAAGCTCTTTGAGTTCTTTCTTGGCTGTTATTTTTTTTTTTTTGCATGCACAAGACACTGCGCGGGCTAAGGAGCTCATTGCGATAATGAAATCGCGTGCATTTTTATGTGTTCGACTCTCACCATGTTTTTTCAGTCTCTTTTTGAAATTTCTTGTTAAGAAATCCATTTTTCCGGCTGTATCTTTGCTTCTTTTAAACAGAATTCACAATATAGTCTGCTTTATATTATCATACATGAGCCACACAAATTCCTGAAGCTAAGAAGTTCTGAAATCTTTCTGTGGTTGTACTTTTGCATGAAATGTTTGAAGTGGACGGTTGTTCAAGTTTATCTTCGTGTGTGTCTTTCACTAGCTTACTGGTCCTAACTGAGTCAGACTGGGGTTGAGCAGATGACCTCTGAAGGTCCGACAGAGACGTAGACTGTGTGGAAAAAATCTTAGGCTTCACCATTTTCTGCACGCCGACTTTCACTGCAAAAAGCTCAGCTCAGCTTGTCTGCTTTGTTTGTTAAGATTTGCCACCCGGTTGAAATCCTGCGAGCATGCAGGTGTTTTTTGATAGGCTGACGTGTCCATGTGACGCTATGGGCTATCAGTTACTTTTTAAGATGGAAAATCCCAAAAGAAAATATATAAAAAGGTCTCAGTAAATATAGAAAAGTAATAAATAGTTACTCAAGGAAAATAATAATAATACAAAGTTGCTACCTGTTGCCACTGGAGAGTTTATTAATGTTATTACTCGCAAATTAGTAATTGTGGTCGCAATTGTGACTGTTTTAGTTGCAGTCTGGAGCCCTGTTCAGTACATGTAGCATAGACAATGACACTGAAATGTTACACTTTGTATATCTTTATTATATCTTGTATCACAGGTCTGTAATATCCAACATATTTGTTCTACAGTACTGTGCAAAAATCTGAGACCGCTCTTCATTTATTTCATTTTCATTAAATTTTAAGTTAGGCTATTAAGTACAGGTCATTCATTTGTCCACAGAAACCTCAACAACTAAATATAATAGTTTCCACCCTTTGCAAAGGACTCTGCTGAGATGTTTGTCCTCTAAAGTTTAGTTTTAGATATTGGTTGTATTGTCAACTTTTCACAATCCAAGTAATCCCAGACATTTTAGTGATGTTGCGTTCTGGATTCTGGGGTGACCTGCATCTTTGTTTGTTCTGAATACGTTCTTCTGTGTCTGTGTGCTTGTCTCAGTAAGGGCCTCTTGACAGCTACACATCCTTTCAGACCCATAGTGTTGAGTTGTCTTCTCACAGTGATAGGATGGACAGAAACACCTGTGTTTTTTTTGTTTTTTTTTGTTTTTTTTTGTCAGATCTGAAGCAAGAATGGAGCTTGATTTTCTCCGCCCTATCTAAGATAAAGCTTTAAGTGCTGTTTATCTGATGGTGAGAGATTTAGTGATCTGCATGGTCTTAAATATTTAGAACTTTTGGAAACTCCTGTTTTTTTCTGCTTTCTCCTTCCTTATATCTTATCTTGGAAAAATGAAAAACATGTATTGAAAATTCATTTTGACCAGACACAGTGGTTTTTGACTGTTGCATTGTGCTATATAGCACGCCTTTTCTCCATATTATGCAGCTTTAGTTCAGGAGTCTGTGTTCAGGAGATTCAGATGCCAATGTTTTATTAAATCTGAATTCCCAGGCAACAGGCAGCATTACAGAGAGCTGTAGAGTTACAGTAAACACACTCACACACGGTTCAGATGTGTGGTAAATGCAGCCGTGTCCAGAGCCTGATGCTCCTTTCCTCCCACCCGCGCTGCTCTGTTACAGCTGTCTTTGATGTGAGGCTGCAATCAAACGGAAAGCTAAACTGGCATGAATGAGCAGGCGAAGACTAGTGGCCTGGCTCTGGCGTGGGGTTAGAAAAGCTTTGGCTCAGAGACACACTGTGAAGATATCATTACTGCCACTGCGGGGCCATTTGAATTTAATTTTGTTTGTGCCTTTTAAACTGTGTGAATGTTTTAGGCTCTGTCCTGTGCCTACAGTTCATTTACATGTGCATTGCATGTGCAATGGGTTAGATACCCTAGTTCGTAGGACTGTCTCTAGTGTTACGCACGAACTGTGCTGTAATTTGAACTACTTGTTCCTATTAATAGACCATGAATGTAGGATTGTATTGAAGTAGGTTTTTAATGAAGGTCTTGTAATGAAATGTTTCCCCTTTGACCTTGGAGAGAATATGAATACACATTTTGGAATGAGTTTTTCCAACACAAAAACATCTGTTACATGAGATCCATGAGCTCAACATGAGCTGAAGATGACCCTAATTATTCTTGGTATTGCAGAAGAAAAGATTTTTTTTTTTTTTGCCCCTTTCTCCCTTTTCTTTCTATCAACTCCTGACAAAGTAAATTTAATTACTACTAGCGTGATCTGGACATAGATTATTTTAATTTTTAATTTGTATCAATGTCAGATTTCCCTCTGTGTTTTCCTGCCTTTCCACTTGAGGCAGCAAATTTGATTAGTGCGGAGAGGTCAGTCCTGGGTGGAGATGTTCTCCTCAGCATACTTAGCAGAACTGTCACATACAGTCCTGTGCAGTGTGACGGACCTACAGCTCTTTAAAAGTTAGAAATCACCTTCGTTTATTTCTTTTCCAGTCAAAATGGCCATTAAGTTACTCTTTTTACGTATATAGTACAGTGTTGGTCTTGAGCACCTAGGCACGTCATTTAAAACCACTTATCTTGACACAGTGTATCTTTGCCTATAAAAACCCCTTTGTATCATTAGCATCAAATTCAAATGCACATAAATCTGGTAAAAAGTCGCAAGAATTAAAAAGAAAAAGGTTGCAATTAAATTCTAAGACTAAACTTGGGAGGAGTGGAAAAATATTTGAAAAACTAAATCAAATCTTCCAAAAAATAAGTTATGTTTGGTTATTGATGCTTCTGTGCAATTTTCTGTTAAATGTACATCAGTGAGCCAAAACATTATGACCACTCACAGTTCACAGTGGCGCACCTTAAGGTCTGGAATGGATTAGACCGTAAGCCAACACTCAGTCGACGGCAAGGACTGGCGGATGCTCCCGGTCAGCAGTGAAGAGTACCGACCAACAGTGGTCTGACCTTGAAATCCCCCAGATCTCAGTCTGATTGAGCTTCTGTGGGAAGTGCTGGAACAACTAGTTCAATCTGTAGAAGTGCAAACTTACAAGACTCAAAGGATCTGTTGCTAAGGTCTTTGTGCCAGAGACCACAGGGCATTTTCATAGGTCTTGTAGAGTCTGTGACTTGGCAGGTCAGAGCTGTTTTGGCACACAGTGTACCAAAAGCAAATTAGTCAGGTAGTCATAGTGTTTTGGCTCATCTGTGTATTATATGTATTAATTTATTTACTTTTGCTCATTTGCTGATTCTAGAAAATTAACTTGTACTAAATGGCCATGTTGCCTGGAAATTAAACAAATGAAGGGTGGTCTCAGACTGTTGTACAGCATTTTAATGCCAGGCCAAAAGCTTCCTGATTAAAAGGCAGGCTGAGCATTAAGCACACATTTGTATTTATATAAATTTCATGTGCTGGCTTAAACCTCATTTATTTCATTTGTTTGTTTGTTTTCACAGCTAACGTGGCTGCAATGTATTATGGGTACTGTATGCTCCCGGATGGAACATATTGCCTGGCCCCACCACCACCTGGGATTGATGCCAGCGCCTACTACAGCACGATGCCTGCTGGCATGATGCCAGCACACTCAGCGTCCGGAGCGCCTCCACCACCAGGCACCACTCCTCCTCCTCCTGACCCCTTGGCTGCTGTCCCGTCAGCCCCTGCTGCTGCTGCTGCTGCTGCTGCCGCCGCTGCCCCTGCCCCAGCCCCAGCCCCAGCCCCAGCCCTGGCCCCGGTGTCTGCTGCAGTCTCTCACTCTGCCCCTGCTGGTCTTCCCAGCACCAGGTGTGTATCTGACAGCATCCCACCTCACTCCAAGATAGCAGCTGGTCTCTACTGATAAAAGGTCCCATTCTACTAATGGCTTCTTTTACTTTCTCTTACCCTTTAGCTCCAACCTTCCTCAGGCGAGCGTGTGTCAGCCAGTTGCAGCTCCGGCTGCAGCCATCATCCCCCCACCGCCAGACATCCAGCCCGTTATTGACAAACTGGCTGAGTATGTGGCTCGAAATGGAGTTAAGTTTGAGAGCAGCGTGCGTGCTAAGAATGACCCACGGTAAGTTGCCAGCATCTGCGCCAACTACAGCCTGAAGTACTTGTTGTGCCTGGGTCAGGTTCAAATTTCACATCAGGGTTTCTCACAGTCTGTTGGGGTTTCTCTCCCCTTAAACAGATTTTGACCTGCATTTACCCCTCCTTTAGTGTTTCTCCTTACTTTTTTCTTCCACTCTTTTTATTACCTTAAGCAGTTTTTAGTCTGGCACGTTGGAGTCACTCATGTTGTTGGCAGCCAGGTCCACTAAAGTCCCAGAGGTTAGCATAAGAACAAGGCGTTATGTAACATTAACCAGACTTGGGATGTTGATTAAAGGCACTGACTGATGAATAACTTAGCTGAAGTAGAATTTTGGATGGCTAATAATCGCACTATTAAATTTTTTGTTTGTTTTCTTTATTGTTAATCTAAAGACAGCTGTTAATGTTGTTGAGGTAACTTAACATGTCATTTAGAAGGTGGAGTTTTATTTGGTCTCCAATTGGTGAATGTTGAGTTCAGACAGAATTTTGTGGGGGTACAGTCTGGTTTGGATAAATATTCCAGGCCCTGTTAAAACACTAGTACCAACTTAATGTGGAATTCCACCGTTTTCAAAGTTTCTGCATAATTAAATGGTTAAGATGTGAAGAAAGTCATTCAGAATGGTTTGATGTTAAATGCACCCTTCTAGAGATACGTATGTAGATAGAATTATTTACAGCAGTGATGATAGGAACCAGACGTCCTGGGCGTTTACTGCCTCTAAAAGCTACCTCACAGAAAGCTATTATATGAAATGGTTATAAATGTGTTGCCTGATGCATGAGACATTGTTTTGTTATAGCTTTGGCCTAAAACCTATTTTAACATGTTTTCTATGATCTTATTCAGATTTGCCACTTTTTTACTATTATTAACATTTACATACAATACATACAGATGTAGGTTTATGGGTCTTTTTGGATAGTATATAAGATGTCTGTATTCGAGTTATAGACATCATACCAGTGGTTCCACTACTGTAAAGAAATCCAAGTCAGTACTTTTCTGTACAGTGCACCATTTTACATGAAACTACTCTAAATGAATTTGTTTGTATCTAAGCAGAAGTGGCAGAATTTCCTTTTAAGTCCTCTCTCAGAGCTTAGAGTAACTCTATTATAATAACATTCATAAGTCTAATAATTCTAAGTTTGATTTTGTATCCCAAAGGTTCGACTTCCTGCAGTCTTGGCACCAGTACAACACTTACTACGAGTTCAAAAAGCACTACTTCATGCAGAAAGAAGGCCTAAGCCTGCCAGAGGTATTGTCAGTCCCAGAGCCTTTATCCTACTTTTTTTTTTCGCTTACTCAATTGCTTCTTACCCATTTCTTGCCTGTCCTCCCGCTCCTCCTCCATTACTCCTTTTCCATTCAGGTTGATAACTGGATATGGATAGGTATCGTCGTGTCCTGGTCTGTCAGATATGATTGTTTTGTTGAGAAATCAGCTCTTTTGTTCGCGCAGCAGATACTTAGGATTCCATTAGTGCCGTGGAGCTTTCATTGTGGCACCATTTCGCCGGTTCGTTTATCTCTACTGTGTGAACAGCTCCTATCTTGAACACACTAGAACACGTAGTGTGCTCATGCATACTATCAAGGCTTTTGTACTCTCACTTACCTGCTGCAATATCTCAAGGCTGCTCTGCTGGCCCTTTCTGATCCAAGGCCATAGTAAAGTGTTGATCTAAGCCCAGTGTCAGCTTTTTATGCTTTTTTTATTTTTTAAATAAGAGAACCTTATTGTGTGTTTTGCATGTGTGCATCACAGTGATGTGCATTTTTAAAATTCTTCATCTTCCACCAGTTTAAATTAATTAGGATCTCTGGATATGTAGAGTAGATCCAGACCAATATGAAAATGTGGTGACTGACTCTGATTTTAAAGGGTTAAATTATATAATTACCAGTATTGGCAGATATAGTTTTATATTTTGAATTTTAATTTGCACTCCAGTAGTTTTAACAGCTATATTTTAGTTATTTTAACAATATCGATATCTTGAGTAGAGCTGAATATTATTCCGATACCTTGACTTGAGATTATTGAGCAGTACTTTTTTTTTTTCCAATCCGAAAATGGGTGTGGCTTAAACCAGAAACGAGTGTGATGTGGTGTAAGTGAGTTTCTTAATAGCATAAATATTAAAAGTAATTTAAAAGTCTAGCCTGCAAAAGCTGCGTTCCAAAAGCTGGGCTGCAGACGGGAAAGGTGGACCCTTGATAGCACTGTCTTATGAAGGGTGCTTGTTTGTGTTACATCATGCAGAACGGAATGCTCTACCAAGGCTCTACTTTGCCAAGTCAGAATGGCGTTGTCGCACAATATTTGCTGGAGAAAATACTGTTGATCCAGATCATAGGCTGGGAAGCAAAATGTTGGTGTGAATGATTTGTTTGTAATTAAATGCTGTCCTGTAAGCTAGAAACTGTTAAACTCACTAAAAGCAGGTGCATTTCACACCTCGCCTTCAGTTTACAACCTCTTGCACAGATTCACAGCTAAAGAAATAGTGTGCTGTATATGTTAGTGTGTATTTTACTGGCCTTTTTAAACAGCTTGCGGTAGATGGTTTAATCTGCCAGTATTTCCCTTGAACTTTCATCAGGTCAAATGTGTGTGCAGAAGATAATGGGCGACAGAAGAGCGAGGATACCTTACTAGTGTCCTCGAATGTGGGCTGGATTTCTCAGCTGTATTAGAAAGATCTTTCTGATTGGAAGAGCCTTGGAGGATTGGAAGTTTAGAAATCTTTTGGAACGCAGCTTAAGACTGACTACTTGAGTAGTGAAATGTGGTATTGAATGACAGAATGTTTTGCTACTCTGAAGTAATGAAGTAATTTGTTTGGTGCTATAAAGGTATTGAATTTCGATACCCAGTCTTAGTTTTATATTTACCAGTACGGCATGTATTGCTAAGATGCAAACAGATGAACTGTCTCTATAAACACATCATTAGTCTTCAGATACATACCTTGAATCCAGTTCATGCTTCTGAATATTGTCATTGCTGCATAGAATTAGGCATGGGCATTTTAGTCAAATTTGATATTTTAACTAAACTATTCAGAGAACAACCCCTCGGCCCAAACACCCACCTGCCAACCAAAAAAATAAAATAAAAAAAAAGTAAATAAAGATGATCTTTAGGCTAAAGGCTACCACACACCGGACATGACTCTGACCCATATCAAACCCATGCCACAAATCTTTAATGGGTGATGTGGTTTGATATTTTCACCAAGAATGGAATCAATCTAAAACCTTGGATATAAACACACAAATTCTAAATGTTTGTTTTCACCTCAGCTACCATTATAAGTCAGATTGAATTTTATCTCACATATTTTAGCTCCAAAACTCTTTTGTGACGAGTTAGTTAGCTGATAACAAACATAACAAACTCACTAAATGATGTTAAAAGTTATATTTCATTGTATCTGTGTGAGTAAAGTGTAAAATGAGCTTACACTTGATGTTATCAGCACTTTTCTACAACACTTCTTATGTACTATAGCTTTCCTCTTTACTCTTTGCTGGCTGGCACCAGCGACCCTGTGCAAACAAGGCATGGAGCTTATCATCTGGTGTGCGGTAACTTTTAGCCAGCTTTAATAGTCTTTCTGTGGTTCCCTCTTTGAAGTTACTCTAAGAAACCAAAACATAGGGCACATGCTCTTCATTTCCCTCTGGTGGTGTATGGAGTCTGGAGACGTCTACCCAGGTTCTATATATGATGTTAGAAACAAGCTCATTTTCGAAAATCCTGATTTACTATTAATTTTTTTGAACTTTCATCACCATTCAGATGTTCAAAAACTCAACTCTAGTAGGTATAACACCATGTGGCCAATCAGTTCCATGAACTACAAATCAGAACAAAATCTAGGAATGAAAACTGGGGTTAAGGTCTAGATCTCTGCCTTAGATCTTTGGTAGTGAACAATATGAAAGAAGCCACTGATTATCAGAGCTTTGTTGGTGGGAAATTTACAGATACTGATAAAACAGGACCTCAATATCAGCTAACATTAGCAGCCAGCTGACATTGGCGGGCAACCAGTGTATCGACTGGGCCCTGTTGTAGAGCACTGCTAACCTTTGAACTGTGTTGCTGAGGCTGTAACCCTTTGTTCTGACCTGTAGCTAAACTTGAGGTGTCAAAATGTGTAAGGCATGCATGTGTTCATGTTCTGTTTTACACCTGCTAACAGTATTCAGATCCCCTTTATGGCACTGCAAACAGGTCACTGGTTGGTTTCTGACAAGAGTTTATCAATCACAAGTCTCCAGTGTGTGTACAATCTACTGACCTAACAAATCACTCACCAGTGGTCTGAGATGTTGACTTTGGATTGCCCTTGCACACAGAAATATACTCTTTTCCATCAGTCTGTTGGCAGGCGTGTTTGTCCAAGGGAAAACAGTCCTATTCGGACAGGATTCATTTTTCATGAGGTGGCAAGGTTTACCACAGGACGTCTATAATGTTTATGACCGATTAAAATAAGTTGGTATAAGTGACTGAGATAAGATATCATTCCAGAAACAAGCAAAACATGTTAAACTGTTTGATTTAGCCATTATTTTGTTCACCTTAAGCATCTGTCTTGCTGTCCTAAGTGAATGCACTGTCACTAGCATTGCCATTTAGCTTGGGAATTCACAGCCAACAATCAACTTCACTGCATAAAATCAAACTATACTTCTGTATGTTTACGTGTTCTCAGTACATGTGAGAACACACATCAGCTTGGTTTTAACCAAAGACAATACAAGTGAGTTTCTTCAAGTGCTTCCATACTTGAGAAACTCCTTTTCCACAGGATATCATAATGTTTTTATCAACATGTTAGTTCACACATTTTCAGTATAACATGTACGGTTATTTCTTGTGCTCGTTTTATCAAAGGAATCTTTACTGACAAGGTAGCAGTAAAAATGAGTGACATTGCACGTTTGGAAGGGACTAAAATTACTGAGAAACTCCAGTAAAAAATGACATTGCCCCACCTCCTCAGGTAAAACTAATGCCATCCGAATAGAGCTTTAGGGAGGAAAATAGACTCTACTGCAGAAGCTGTGCTCTTTAGTAGGTTCAGTTCCAGTTTGAATTGTAAGTGAAGCATTATCTGCGTTATGAGTTGACATTTAAGTGACAACAATACTTACATCTATATTTGTGTTTTATCTTTTAGTCATGCTGGAGCAGTTACATGATTTACCCAAAGGAGATAGTAGGACTACTGGAAACCTTCCTTAAAGAGAGAGGCTAATACACATTTCCTGGTGCTTTGAGTCCAGCTGATAGATTAACTTTGAAATAGGGGCTATTTGAAACCAGGAAATCGCACCACTCTGCTGCATATTCTGTGTTTTTCTGCATTTATATTCTGCATCTGTTTATTTATTAGATGTTAGCATTATGCGTAATGGCGAGTATGACATTATAAATCCATTATACTCCGTCTACTGGTCATTTTCCTTTCATTAGCGACTATCAGCTCACCAGTCATTCTTAATGGAGAGGGAAGATGGACTTAACTGCGTGGCACCACATTATAAAACCAAATATTAAGGGTTAAGTGACACAGAAGGAGAGAGATTTATAAAGCCGTTTGCTTTAAGTGCGCTAAGTGCTCCATTTGTATTCCTCATGAGCGTTAGCCAGAGCAAATAACATTATGGTGAACATATGATATAAGCAAACTGGAAGGGCGTTGCTTTTCCTGTTTTTTTGGAGTGTTCATTTGGTCTTCTGATGTTTGTTTTTGAAGACTTACCTTATATAATTGATTGTGCATGGAGCCTGCAATTGAGTTTGGCCCAATGTGGCCCTTCATGGGTCTACATCGATTTTCTGTTAGTAGAGTCGGAAATGTTTATGGCTACTGAATTGACAGCAAACAAAGAATGTCCTTTTTATAATAGGAAGCAATGGGTCAGTATTTATTGACATGTATGGTTTTAAAGTGTTTGCTTTGCTGTGTGTTTGAGAGAGAGAATATGGGCTGAAGTATCCATATGCCTTGAGGCTGTAATGTCAGTCTTGTCTTTGAGTGTGTTGGTGTGTTCATGTCTGAGATGTGGAGCTTGGCCTAGGGGGCATTGAGCACACCTTCCTTTTCATCCCAGGCTAAAGACGGGCTTAGCGGGGCTGAGTTCAAATAGAATCCTTTTCTCGCAGCAGCAGTAATCTCAGTCCTGCTAGCTCTGGCTGTCTAAGGCTGCTGTGCCACTCTGAAGCAGATGCTCAAG